AGCATCGGAGTCCGAGCTGGTCACACACCCTCACCCGGAAGGCGCCTGGCCCTTCAGGTTTTATCTGTTTCCAAACGCCCGCAGGGACCCGGGGTGCCAGGCCTCCCGCTGGCACTGGGACAGAGCATCGGCCAGAGGGTACGGCCGGGCGTGAGGGCAGGTCTAAGTTTAACACCAGACACCAGCTCATGTCACACTCGTCCCTGGGAGTGTGTGAGTTTCCTGTCCTGTGTGTGAGTCAGTGTGTGCGTGAGAGTGTGAGTGTAAGCGTGTATATGTGTGTGTGTGTCAGTGTGTATGCGTATGTGTGTGTGTAAGGGCATGTGTCGTGTGTGTGAGTATGTATGTGTGAGCATGTGTGAGTGTGTGCATGAGCATGTATGAGTGTGTGAGTGTGTGTGTGAGCGTGTATGAGTACGTGTGTCAGTGTGTGTGAGCATGTGTGTCTGTGCGTGCATGCATGTGTGAGTGTGTCAGTGTGTGTGTGAGCATGTGTGAGTGTGTGTGAGCGTGTGTGAGTGTGAGCGTGTGTGTGTCCGTGTGTGTGAGCATGTGTGTGTCAGTGTGTGTGAGGGTGCGTGAGCGTGTGAGTGAGTGAGTGTGGGTGTTTGCTCATCGGTGTGTCCCTTGTGCATGAGAGTGTGAGTGTAAGGGTGTATATGTGTGTGTCAGTGTGTATGCGTGTGTGTGTGTAAGCGTGTGTGTGAGCATGTGTCAGTGTGTGAGAGCCTGTGTGTGAATGTGTGTGAGCATGTGTGAGTGTGAGTGTGAGCGTGTGTGAGTGTGAGCATGTGTATGTCAGTGTGTGTGAGCATGTGTGTGTCCGTGTGTGTCAATGTGTGTGAGCGTGCGTGAGCGTGTGCGTGTGTGAGTGTGTCCGTGTGTGTGAGTGTGCATGAGCGTGTGCGTGAGTGAGTGTGGGTGTTTGCTCATCGGTGTGTCCCTGAGCAGATAGAGTTCAAGGGCTGGTGCGCTCCCTGGAGGGTCATTTCCTTGCTGGAGGCGCTCGGGGGGCACAGGGCCGTGAACACCCGCTCACTGGCTGAGACACGTCTGGACAGGCCGCGTGTCCCTGGGCTGGGCTGCCTGTCCCTCCGAAAGGCGCCCGAGGCGGAGGTCGTCAGCGTGAAGCCCGGAGCTTCCAACGTGGGGGGCGGAGAGAACCTCCCCGCGTCCCAGTTATTTCCAATCCTGCAGCAGGTCTGTGATTACATGAGGTCATCTTGTTGGAACGACATAAAATAATGTCTAATTAGGCACCATCCATCTTCCAGGGGCGCGTCACAGATCCTGTCACATCCAAACGGAAAACCTTTCAGCCACGGCGGGGAGCTCTGTGGGTGTCCGTGCCCCGTGGCCCCTCTGCCAGCGGTGGAGCCGGCCCAGGAAGAGCGAAGGGATGGGAGGGAGGGGCAGCTTCACCCCCCTCGGCTGGGCTGCCTGTCCCTCCGAAAGGCGCCCGAGGCGGAGGTCGTCAGCGTGAAGCCCGGAGCTTCCAACGTGGGGGGCGGAGAGAACCTCCCCGCGTCCCAGTTATTTCCAATCCTGCAGCAGGTCTGTGATTACATGAGGTCATCTTGTTGGAACGACATAAAATAATGTCTAATTAGGCACCATCCATCTTCCAGGGGCGCGTCACAGATCCTGTCACATCCAAACGGAAAACCTTTCAGCCCCGGCGGGGAGCTCCGTGGGTGTCCATGCCCCGTGGCCCCTCTGCCAGCGGCAGAGCCGGCCCCGGAGGAGCGAAGGGATTGGGAGGAAGGGGCAGCTCCCCCGGCTCACTGGGCCCCTCCCGCAGGAGAGCGTGTCGCAGAGATGGAAGACCCCTGACCTTCCACCCTGCACAGCCTTCACGATGCATGCGCGCCCGTGACTGTCCCGGGGTCTCTCTGACCCTCAGTTTCTTCATCTGTGCAGTGGGCTGGTCGGTGAGTGAAGCAAAGAGGGCGTCAAGGCTGACCAGTGGTTTCTCCACCGCCGTCTGGAAACCGAGTTCTCCCAGCTGGACGGGGGGGGGGGGGCTCGCTGCCGAACACAGTGACAGTGTCTCCCCCCGGTCTGTAGAGAGAGCTCCACCCAAGGCTGCGAAAGGCAAATGCCCGAAGTTCTCCACTCGCCACGGGCGGGCCCTCGTCCTGGGTGCCCGCGGGCAGCTCAGCCCCTCCCGGGCTTCCCTGAGAATTCTGGGAGTGAGGGGCCCCCTCCTGCTCACCCTGCCGCCCCAGCCGTTAGGCCTCCCCATTAGTAGCCCCTGCCCGCTGGTCAGTGTCTGCTGGCTGCCCGCTCAGTCCTGCCCTATCCAGGGGGACAGAGCCCCCGCGTCCCCCAAGCTGCCACGGTCACCGGCTTGGCCGAGGCCGATGACAGGGCACAGGAGAGGCTAGCGTCGCTTCGGCCTGTGCTCGGGGTCCGGTGCTGGCCTCTGGTCTCCTTACGCCTGTCCCTCGTGTGGCCAGGGCTGTTCCCCCCACAAACGAGGGTCCCCCCACCCCCTTCTCACCCTGTCCCTGCCCCTCAGCCCCCCCTCACCCTGGGGGTCCTGGCTGATCCGAGAGCAGGTCCCCGAGGACGAGGATGTGTCCTCTCAGGTGTGCAGGCCGTCAGCTACCCACCCGGACGCACTGGCCCCAAACCAGTCCCCTCCTTCCCGCAGGTCCCCGCACAGGGTGGCGTGTGCTCAGGCTCCTCTTCCCTGAAGACTTCACGCTGCGGGAATGCCCGGTGGGTGCCCGGCGGCGCTTTTAGGGGTGCAGCTCCGGGAGGGCGAGTTTCTCTTCTGTCATTTCACACGCGGCCTCCTGTGCCCGCTGGGCAGGGCCACCCTCCAGGAGGCAGAACAAACCGCGTGCGCCCGTTTGCAGGGCGTGTCTCTCCCACAGGGAGCACGGGGCCCTGAGTGTCCGGGTCCCCTGGGCCCGCCCAGGTTTGCTGCCCGCCCTGGCGTCCACCTACAAGCTCTGTGACTTTGGACCAGTGACCCTCACATGGGAATGGTGACCTTCCCGGGGGAGAGAATGGCCGGCCCGGAAGGTCAGTGCCGCTGGGAAGCCCCCGGTGGCCACGGGCAGCCTTAGCCGAGCAGGAAGTGCGAGCAGCCGGGCCGTCTGAGCAGGTGACAGACATGAACGTGACTCCAGCCGGGAACCCGGGGGGGAGCACCTGAAGCCGCCTGTGACCCCGCTTCGTGCAGTGCACCCCCACGGGCCATTCCCGTGCCTCTGCCAACAGGGAAGTCCCGCGGGCGCCACCGGAGACCGACAGCGGGTTGGGAGGGAGCAGCCGGGAAATGATTCCGCCTGTAAACACCTGTGTTAGCAGCTGCTTGTTTATGGTGCAGTTTCTCTTTCACACACTGTTACACACACCTCTTCCCTCACCTGCGCAGGTGTGTGTCCCATGGGACGGGGACCCGCTGGCGGGGGGCCAGCCCGCCCCTCGGAAACGCCTCCCCTCCGTCCGG